AATCCTCCTCTTTTTTTGCTGAGGAAGACTGGCCCTGGGCTAACATCCATGCCCATCTTCCTCTACTTTATATGGGACGCCGCCACAGCATGGCTTGAAAAGTGGTACGTCGGTGTGTGCTCGGGATCCGAACCGGCGAACCCCGGGCCGCCGCAGGGGGGTGCGCGCACATAACCGCTGCGCCACCGGGCCAGCCCCTGGAGTTGCCATTTTTTGAAATCCTCTTTATTGCTCTTTGGGGGTATCAACCTGACTATTCTATGATTGACGATCCTGAGGCACCGATGATCGAACTGACTCACTGAAAGTTAGGTTTTGGCCTGTGGTGCAGCCTTAGCAAGACCTTTACTTGGGTTCACAGAATGTGATGACTCAAGGGCCTTTAATCAGTTGTTTGCATGGCCTGGTGTCGGAACAGCCTGTGATTTGTAAGAGTGAGTGGACATAAGATGCTCACTGTGCAGGGGAGAGAACGGCTGAAGCCAATGTTTTGAAATGCCACAAAACTGATTCACAGTGGGCCTGGCGGAGATGAGTGGGGAGCACAGGGCATGCAGGCCCAATTTTCTGCAGGAGAGGTGATATTTCTGGGAACTTGGATGTTCCAGCCTTAGCAGACTCCTCAGAGATGGACTGTGGAATACAAATGCTGTCTAGCCTCGCCAAATATAATACCATCCCAGTAGACATCTGTTAGATAAGATTTCTGTGAACAATTACCAGGGTCAGGGATGAAAACCCATTTGAAGTAAAAGAATGAGATTGAATTGGATGACCTCTAACGCCTCTGCCCAGGCCCGGGATTTGTGAAAAAGAGGAAAGAAAAGCCAGGCTGGAAGGACTTCCTTTCAACAAGGAGAAGGACATCTTCTACGACTATTTCCATGCCAAATTGTTACCAGTGTGCATGTGGCAGTCCCCTTTTATAAGTCACTCTTAAGTCCTGATCTGATTATAACAACCCCCTCCCACTTACCTTTGCCCTCCATGCTAGGAGTTGTCATGGTTGAAGGTCAGGGGTCAGTAGACTTCTGTCAAAGGCCAGAGAGTAAACATTTTCAACTTTATGGGCCATACAGTCTGTGTTGCAACCACCCAACTTCTGCCCTTGTGCTCGAAAGAAGCTTTGGACAATATGTAAACAAATGGGGAGTGTTGTGTTCCAATTGAACTTTATTTACACAAATAGGCACCTTGCAAGGCTATAGTTTGCCAGTCTCTGATTAAAGGTAAAAAAGGGCTAATGTTGGGAGTCAGAGATAGACATTAGCATAATTTCTCACTGGATCCTCCGCAACAGATTCAAGTGTCTGGTCCTTAGGAAAATAAAAAAATATGAGAAATTTAAACATGCATGTTAAAATTTTAAGCATGCTGATTGAGATAAGCCAAAATATAAATAGGGATACGAGGGCTTAGTTAAGCGACTAGAAGAACTGCCAAAAGGGGCGCTGGTTCTTAATTGCTGATTGTACCTTGCTCTTCTCCTCACCTGCAGTCATCGGTCCTTGCTGGTCTGTAGCCATTCAGGTATATCCCCAGGTTTGCAGGATGAGTGGGGAGAACCCGAGGCAGAACTGACCTGCCTTGAAGCCCCGTACTTTGTGCTCTGAGACTCTGTGAAATGCACCCCTGTCTTATGCAGGAAACCCCCTACTCTCTGCGTGGGTCCTACTTCTGGGGCTTTGCAATCAGGAGCTGCTGCTGCTTTGCCCTCCTAGTGGGAGAACAAAATGTAGATTGTTATTTTGTCATCACTGTATTTCCTTTCCCTACAGAGAATCCTAATTTAGAAATTCTTCCAAGCTAACGACCTTCAATGACTTACCATCAACTTGCCATGTCAGCTTTAAAAAGCATTAAGCCTCTAGGGGTAGGGTACCTATTACTATTCCGGGAGTCAAGATAGGGAATGAGTATATCCCTTGATCTTCTAGGTGTTTCTCCTCTTGTTCATGAAATCTTCAGGGGCCACCTGGAGAAGGACGGGGGGTAGGCAGTGCTGGCTCTGGCAGCAGCAGCTCCAGGGGCCCATTATAGAGCTGACAGCTGTGATCACGACATTCCCCATCCTTCTGCCCCTGTGCTTGTTGCAGGAACAAAGGGATGAGGACTCGACTGGGATGCCTGTCACACAAGTCAGACTCCTGTAGTGATTTCACAGCTATTCTTCCCGACAAACCCAACCGTGCTCTAAAGTGAGTAGTGTGGCCACATGGCATTCCTGGGGTGCCCACCATGGGGTGCTACTGTGGGGCTATAGAACCTGTTCTTCTCTAGTAGATTGCTGACCAGATGAGCCAAGTGACTAAATTTCTGCCTCTTGGCACCTCCTTTTAATATCCCCAGACGTGAGTGAAAGAATGTTATTTTCCTTTCAACACATATGACAACTCAGAGTAGGCACACTCCTTTTACTTTTAAGAAAACCGTATTATCCACCACTCTTACAGAGCTGCAGTGAAGGACACTTCTTGGTTCTACTTAGTTGTCAATCTGAGCTCTCAATTTGGAAACAAACACTCAAATCTACGCTAAAAATCTGCTTAGGTTCAGGTAATCTGGATTCGGTCCCTATACTGCACAGGCACTGTGTTGAATGATGTCACAGATGTTACCTCATTTAACCCTCATAGGGTTCTGTGATGGGCATCGTTAACCCCACTACAGAGGTGAAGAAGTTAAGGTGACAGTAAGAGATGGTGTCAGGAGCTCACCCTAACTTTTCTGACTCGAAGACCAGTTTCTTTCCATTGTTATCTTGACATCTTTAGATCATATGCTTATTTCGCTTTGTTTTTTAGACTGAAAGCCATTATGCTAAATACACTGCATTCCAATCCTAAGGGTTTTCCATCAGTTACTTAAGAATGTACATGGTTACAGTGGCAGAATTGTAAGAATCTAGATATGGTCTTCATTTACCCCCCATTGTTCCAATTTTTTCTCCTGAGAAAATCTCAGTAGTGGCTGAAAGAGAGGAGGTCATTTCAGAAATATTCAAGAGGGATGTTTCTTCTTTCCTAGGAGATTATCCACAGAAGAAGCTACGAGGTGGGCAGATTCCTTTGATGTGCTTCTCTCTCATAAGTGTAAGTAGAATTCAGGTTTTGTCATGTCGTGGCAAATCATCCATTTAGTAAAAGATGCATCACATGCCTACCATGATCCAGGTATTGTGCTATGGGTCTCAGACGGCTCCCGTGCCTGCTCTTACAGAGCTTTCTGCTCTGTAAGGGGGTGTAGAGGGGTGTAGAGATAAGAAAACATAATTTAAACGCAGTGGGAAAAAGCCCTTCTTTTCTGTTGTCTGTGCTGAAAGTATGGTCCCAAGAAGCCTTCATGTTCTCAGCAGTTTTAGCAAGAAAGAATTTAGCTTAGGGAGTTGGAGTGATGTGCTCAGCGGGAATGAGAGAGTCGAGGTTCCATCCCAGATCTTGTTTATAAAATTAAATGACCTCCCCCCAACTCACTGGAGAGCCTTGGATTACTCTTCAGTCAAATGAATGTTTGTGCATTTCGTTATTCACTTGACTTGGCAGAGTTCTGCGTTTTCTTCTTGCTTTTTATTTTGGGGGTTTACTACCCCAGCTGTATTACACCCCTCAATTTCCGACTGGTGGAACACACTTCTCTACCCCTCCTCTTCCATTTTTCCCTTTCCTCATCTCTCATGCCTTTTGTTTCCCACAAAGGCAGAAATTGTTGTGCATATTTTGGTGTAGGAAGGGCACATTGACAATGACCAAACTTTTCAGCTCTTGCTTTTTTCTCATCATACGTAAATCCAAATTCGTTGGGCTTTGAAATCCTAGTGGCGTTAAATACATGGGAGTGGGAGAGCTGGGGTGAGGGAGAGAGAGGGGTCTTTTGGAGAGAAAAGAAGTGTTCACACAGAGCTTCGGCTCTCCTCTTCAATTCGTCTTGTCAATATTAGAAGTCCTTATTGATCTGGCAGCAGAAGGGCTGCTTTTAGTTTAGCACATTCTTGCCACTTAATTGGAAGACATGATTTTGTACAACAAAGTGAAGGGCATTGGCTGGTAGTCAGATTTGTGTTCTTGATTTTGACCCAGCTCGGCTACTAGACAGATGAGTGGCCTTGATGGAGTCCCTAGGTCTTCAGACGATGTCTTTAGAAGTGATTTTGCTTTCAACTGGATGAGCAGTTCCCTCTGCCGATGCCCGGATCCCGATAAACTAATTAACAAATGCTTTGGAATAGATTTTAAAATGAAATGCAAGATCTAAGAATAAGCACATATTGTAGCAAGTAATTTGTGAGACAAATAGTCATTTTAGTGTTCTACGGATTACACTTAGGAAGGAAAATAAAGCAGCATAGATACGGCATAGATAACATATGGCTATACCCCAACAGCAAGCTTATGTGGTGAATTTGCCAAGGTATTGGCATGTGTACAATAATACTTAGGATTTGACAGTGATGCTCGTTTCTTATGAGGCTAGTCTGACTTTATTTTCTAGAGTCACATTAGGCTAAACAAATGTCACTATCAATTTACTCCTTCTTTGCTGGCTGGATTTGATTCAAGGTCATCTTAAAGTTTGGTTTCTATTTTAGCCTCATGACTGACTGGCTTAGTTCAAGTCTCTGAGGCTGTTTCCTCATTCTAAAATGGTGATGGAAATACCTGTGTGCTACCTGTCACTCAGGTATGAGAATCTTCATAAGAGGACATCTTTAGATGATTTTGGTTCTTTACTCAAAGGTGTTTTGTAAGAATATGGTGGTATTTTTTAAAATGATGCTTTTATTTTTCAAATGCAAAATAAAGGTATGTTGAGAATAAGGTTGCACATTTTGCTGCCAATTATTAACGTTAAGCCATTGTAGACAGAGTTTATGGTGGTAAAACTAGCGGATGGAAGCTTAGGGTATATTTGGGTTGCTGCAGTGGCAAGACCTGGAGATTTGAGAGGTTTAATTTTATTTGTTTCATTCAATGACTTTTAGACCTGAAGACACTTGGTTCTGCTTCCGTCAGGGTTGCTCTTGGTTTCCAGGAATGCAATAACACTTTTCCAAGATGGGGATTCCACTAAGGGGTTACAAGCTGACACCAGATTGCTTCTTTGTAAAATCACTACAGAAATAGGCTTTTTGAACTTTGAAGTTCTGTGGTCCTTTTTGGAGTCCGCTGATCTATTTTTATTTCTGTTTAGTACAGAAATAAAAAGCCAATGGAGTGAATGTCTTTGAGAAGAAAGGAGTCTTTATTCAAGGGTCGCTGGCAGAATTTCAAGGTTTTAGAACTTGAACTCTTACTCCCCATGAAGGCTATGGAGGAGTCAGAGCCCAGGTTACCTTGAAGGGTGTTGACAACTTTCTAAAAGTCTAATTAATTTGGGTTAGTATTGTGACTCAATTAGGGCTGATTAAGCTTTTCCAAGGGGATTGCGTGTGTGCTGGTCCCTTTGGAGGGACAGCAGTTGATCAGAGGTGTGCAGGGCTTTCAATTAAGACAACAAAATGTCCTAAAAAGCAAAGAAAAGAGAACCAATGAATGACTGGGCTCCAGAAAAATGTGCATTAGTCTAGAATCTATTCCATGGTAATTCTCCACACCTAGGCAGCTGTCCTCCTTGAGTTTTGTATTTCAGAAAATTCAGATAATTATTTTTGTCCCCATCTACAGAGCATCTTCCCATCCCTGCTCTGCCTGGGTGTTTTGGACACTCGTTTATTTTAAAAAAAGGTGTATCGAGTGTTCATTATGTACAAAATCTGTGCTAAGCAGCTGGTTGGCTGATGTGCAGGACAGTTCCTCCTTGCTGGAGAATGCAGCCTTCTGAGCAAACAGACAAACACACACGTAACACGAGAAATAGTACAGTGTGCTGACTACAGACTAGGGGCCTCAAGATTCCAAGTAGAATCCTGATATTCAGTATTCCTCTTAATTTCCATCTTGTCAGTATAAGTCCTCACTGATCTGGGAGCAGAAGGGCTGCCTTTGGTTTACAGCATCCTTTCTATGTAATTGAGGAACACACTTCTGCACAATTAAGTTAAGAACAATGGCTGGTAGTCAGTCCAGTGTTGAAGATTTTGACCCAGCTCTGCTACTAAATAGCTAAGTGGCCTTGAAGGGATCCCCCATTGTCTTGGAAAATCTGTTTCCCCATCTCTGCAATGAAGGATCTGGAGTAGGACGTGTCAGAGGCTGGGTCCGGTTCTGCCCCCTTGTTCCAGGACACTGTAGCAACCACGGAGGCTCGGCACCTACGGCAGGCGGTCTGAGTCAGCGTGGCCTGCAGGGTTATGTAAAACTGCTTCAAAGCTGAAGGGGCTTGAGCAGCCAGATGAGGGGCTAAGGCAGCTGTGTGATGAAGCCTTCCCTTCTCCCTGGCAGGGTCCCACTGTAAGGGAGCGCTGCACGGGCTCAAACCTCAGGAAAAAAAGAAAGCAACTTTGCTATTTTTTAAAACTTAGAACAAAAACAAAATTGGAAGGCAAGTATTTGGAGCAGTTTTACTTCCAATCCCCTTTGCTGACAAGAGTAGTACACAGCTGAAGAGGCACCCACAGAGGGCTGGGAGATACCCACTTGCTAAGTGCTCTTTTTTTTTTTTAACTAAACAAATGAAAAATGAAATTGAAATTGCTGATGGCTTTATCTGATAGGGAAGGATTTCTAATGTGCATTAATTTGGTGTCTTTTTCCTGTTCATCCAGTGACAATTAGACTTGGTGTCTGTGAGTTGTGCATGTAGTCTGCCCCCTAAGGGTGTGTGTGTGTGTGAGTGTGTGAGTGTGTGAGTGAGTGTGGACACCCAGAAGTCTTTCTGCCTCTGCAGCTCATACCTGGGACAGTGAAGGCTTTTTGCTCGTGGGAGATCTTTCCTGACAGGTTACTGGAGAGCAGGCATGAAATTGCGTGTCTTCTGCTTTTATTCCTCATGTGGTGCAGGCATATGCCTGTTATTTGTCCAGCTGTCAGTGGGACATTCAGTCCTTAACTCTGGATCAGTTCTCTCTTCCTCCCTTTTTCTTTCTCTCTCCTTCCCTCCTTTCTTTGTTTCTTTGGACATAAAAGTTGGATTCATCCCAGTGTTAAGGTGAAGGTGTGGACGGGGTCCTTCCCCTTTCCCCTCATTTCTTTCAGGCTGACCCCACTCCCGGATGACAGAGCACTTCATCCTGGGCATCTATTTGGTCTTTGGCTTTGTTTTGTTGTTTGCACGGAGCATGGAGGATCTATGCTGACCTGTCCATGCCAGGCCCAGGGAAGCCTAGGTTAGTGGAATAGAACAATTGAAAGCTCTTTTGCATTTGCAGAGTTAGTATCCATCTCTGAGAAAAGGAGACCAAAAAAGAAGCTTTGGGTTTTTAAAAATTAGCCTCCTTTGGGATAATGGTTGAGATATAGAAAAATGTAATGACACGACCTGGTCACACAGCGACCAAGCAGAAAACTCTAAGCAAACAAACAAACACTAAAATTACCAGCTCATGAAATTCCTTAATTATTCATCTGAATGATCTTCAGTTTTAGAATATACAGTTTAACAATCAGGTTTCCATTTACTGCACAGCCCTCTCCACACCCCTCACCAAGCCAAAAGGTTCTAGAATAGTGTTACTCAAAGTGTGATCCAAGGAAGGCAGCACCAGCAGCTGCTGGGAGCTCTTGAGAAATGAAAATTCTTGGGTTCTATCTCAGACCTACTGCATCAGATCTCTGGGGTGGCAATCTGTTCTTCCTCAAGCCCTCCAGTAATGTTTGTGCCCACTGACGCTTGAGAAGCACTGTTCCAAAACACAAGTAAGTAAAACCATGAATCTGGAGCATCTTGGTGGGGCAGGTGGTCTGCGTTTTCCAAGAAACACGCTCAACACTGTATCGCAGCTTTCCAAAGTTCTCAGGCAGTGCATCCCTTGGATGGTATGTTGTCGTGTATTGCAGATTCTACATATGTAGCAGGTATAGTGGAGGGTGTTCACAGTAAATAAACAAATATGGCAAGTGTGCTTTCTGCATAAATTGAGGACATGGCTTAGAAAGAGATATGTGAAGTAGAGATGGGTAGAAAAGAAACTTCTGTTCCCCATTGCCATCCTCTCTAC